GGGTGTTCTGGTAATTGGCGCACACGCAGTTACAGCGAGAGAAACCGTGGGCTTCGTGTCACCTAAATTGGGGAAGGAAGGACACAATTATCTTCTTCTCCTCTAACCGTCTCGCCTCCTGTGTCTTGGCTGTTAAAAATAGCCGTCCACAAACAGCCTGTCAGTATTAATATTATTATGGGGTGCGGATAATGAACAGGCTTATGAGTTCTCCACAATGGCTGCCGTGGCTGCACGTCAGGAGACAGAAGACACAAAAGAGGGGGCGGGAGGGGATAATAGAGATAATGGCGATTAGAAATACCATCGCTGTGCGTTCATATTCTTCAAAACGTGCTGCAGCATCCCTCTCGCTCTTCCCATTGTTTCACTCGTAGGGAGGCGTAGTTTTCCAGCTTTGTGACATTCCAGCCTGGGAATTAAGGACGGACATCACTTGCAGTGGTTTTGTAGTTGAGAGAAAAAGAGTTTATATTAAATGGATATTAAGTATCAACCCCTTTATAACTTTACATATACACCAATGCCAAGCTGTAATTTGCCCCCCCCCCCACATGTGTTCTGACTGGAGTGTGTTGCTGGGGCTGGCAGACTCCAGCGAGGGCGAGAGAAGGGAGGGAGGGCGTGCTACAGCAGCGAGAGCAGCAAAGCGAGACAAATCCAGAGGAACCCCCCCTTTAGTCAGATGAACATCACTGCCTCACTCCCGCCTCCTCCTCCTCCCCTCTCCATCGCCGTTTTTCCCCTCCTCCCTTCCTCGCTTCTTCTCCATTATTCATCAGTGCGCAGACAGTCCCCAGCTCACGGCTGCAGCTCCAGCCCGCTGGATCTCCTCGCTCACAGCTCCTTCTTCCTCCCAGATTTCCATTCCCAAGCATGGAAACTCAGAGCTGGCCCTTTTCTGCTGCCGAGAGAGAGCGAGCCACCATCGAGCTGCTCTCTTAGCTGCTGAGAAGAAGACAAACCCAAGAGGAGAGAAGAGAGGATTTTTTCCCCCCTTTTTTTTGGGTGCTGGAGGAATCCTGATCATCTGCCTCTGATTTGCCCCCATCCTCCCTTTTTGGATTACAGTTCTGGCTTTGTGTAGGGACGAGAAAACGGGGTCCAAAATGCCTGAAGCCAATTACCTGCTGTCGGTGTCTTGGGGTTACATTAAGGTGTGTGGCGCTTATCTACGTAGCTTGTGGGGATGCCGCGCTGGCCTCATCATAGCGCTCTGTGCTGTTATTAGAAGCTAAAGATCGGTTTGGAACCGATCGGCTGCTTTCGTGGGCGCGACGTGTGCACCCGAAGATATTTCCATCATTATTAGAGGGTTGTTGTCGATGGTGGCGGGGGATCCGACGGCTCGGGCTCCATCTTGAGCCCTCTGCAGAGCTGTGTGTCTGTGCGTGCACGCGCACGCATCAGCCTGTCATAAACAGCTGCTGCTGCAGTGTCTGGGTCTCTGTGTACTCTGTGTTTTTTTTATGTTTGAACCACCGTCGAACTGTTCGCAATGTGCAAATTGCATGAAATTACGTGAAATGTTGGCAACAAGAGGAACGTCTCGGGCTGCGTGCAGATTTTCCTCTCGCATCATTAACATTTTTGCACACTGATGCAGGGAAAATATGCGACCCAGCGTGATAAAACGAAAGTGTTTGCTGCGGGTAATTTGAGGCTTATTAAAAGGTGTCAGCCGACTCACTGTTAGCGCTAATAATTATCTGCATCTTAATTAATTTCTGGGAAAATATCAAGTGACATTCTTGAGCTGGCAGAATAAAACTGGGCACTAGTGATTTTTCCATGTAACCGTATACATCCTAATGTTTCCCAGATTTCCTCTCCAGTGGAAACTGACGACATCTCTCTCTCTCTCTCTTCCCCCTCCTCCTCTTTCTCTCTTGCAGTTCAAGAGAATGTTGAATCGGGAGTTGACGCACCTATCCGAGATGAGTCGGTCTGGGAACCAGGTTTCCGAATTCATCTCCAACACCTTCCTAGGTAAACGGAAGTCTTGTGTACACAAACTCAAAATCACGACCATCTTCATAAGTTAAACACAAACAGCTACTGGATGTTTATGATCCATGTGAAGCCTCCACGAATCACGTTTATGACTGTGTTTGGTCAGATATGCAACGTTACAGCTCACAGAGCTCGATTTCTTTTCTTTCTTGTGGAGGTTCGGTCTTTTGCGTGATGTCGAGCTGTGCAAGTTGCTCTGGCTGGTTTCCTGCGGGGGCGTACCATAAAAAAACTGCGCCATTAAGCTTTGTGTCGACGTTTATGACGTCTGAAAAAAGTATTAATATTTAATTCTTCAAAATATTACGAGAATAATAAAGAGTGTTGACTGTAAAGAAGGCTTCGGAGTCTGAATTGGAGCTGGATGCTGTCGGCGTGGGTCGCACGTCTGAGAATAGCTGCGGACGTCTAATTATGAATATTCAGCTTTAAAACCTTTCTGGTTTCGTTCTTGGCACCAAAGCACAAACAGAAAGCGTAATGCAACAAATATCTCCGGAAACATCAATCAACAAGCGATGAAACAAAACAGATTCAAAGTTGATTTTCAGGAAACCTGATAGGAAGAGCGCTCGATGCAGAGAAATAAAGTCGAAGTAAATGATCTCATCCCAGATATACAGGGAGAAAGAAAAAGGTGATATGTTTCAGAGATGATGCTCATAAAGGTAGCCAAGATTATTCAGACTCTGTTTCCGATCATCCTCCGCTGTCAGTGGATCCCTCGCCCCCGTGAGAGCGAGACGGGCTTTGAGAAGAAGCGAACGAGCGAGGGAGGGAGAGACCTCACTGCAGTGAAGGGAAAAAAATGGAGGTATAGAGGAACCCCCTTTGCTGGCAGTGAGATGAGCTCAGCAGATTGGGTGACTCATCCCCATCTTAATGCATCT